CCCTGTGTGCCTGGCAGTCTCAGAGGCGGAGGCCGCGGGCGCGGACAGCCGGCCCCGGAGGCGGAGGCCAGCGCGGCTCCCGGAGGCGGCCACAAAGGCGGAACCGGAGGAGAAGGTCCGAGGCAAGAGGCAGAAGGACTTCGACCTGTCAGAACAGAACGAGTCCAGCGACGAGGAGAGCCCGAAGAGGGAGCGAGCGCGGGCCGCAGAGGAGCCCTGGACTCAGAACCAGCAGAAACTTCTGGAACTAGCATTGCAGCAGTACCCAAAGGGATCCTCTGACCGCTGGGACAAGATAGCCAAGTGTGTCCCGTCCAAGAGTAAGGTGGGTGACGCCGAGGAGGAAGGCCCGGCCCCGGCTCTAGAAGCGGGGCTGAGGTTCCAGCCCGCCCTCCTCCCGGCGCCCCTGTCTGTCTGTCTGTCTGTCTGCAGCTGCCGCCCGGTCGCTCGTTACCGGTTACCGCTCAGGAGGTCTCCCGATGGCGTGCGCATCGGTGCCTCGATGGGTTAGTGTAAACGAGGTCGAGTCTGACTTGAACCATTATACAGACTCAGCGCAAAGCCCACGCATAGAACGTCAGCTTGCCCGGCAACAATCCGGCCAGCCTTCTGGAGCGTTGGCTCCGCGGGGGGACAGCCTGAGAGCAGCAGGGGCAGCGTCCTCAGAGCCTGGAGGGCCAAGGGGACCGGGGCTCATCAGCGGCGGGTCGGCAGGTTTCTCAGAATTACAGGCCCTCTTAGCGGTTCCCGAGGCCTTAACCAGGCAGACGGCATCACCACGGTCCCCAGCCCTGTGTGTCACTTCATCTGGACATACCAGGGGCACCTGTTGACCAGAGGCCGGAGGTGGTGCTGGGGGGATGGTCAGCGAGAGGTTGACTGGTGTCAGGATCCAGCTTGTCTCTGTAGCCTTGCCTGTCTACTTACAATAGACTTTCCTCCCTGTTTGCACTTATTTGCTTAAATACATCTGCCGACAGTTTCCAGGTAACAGCTCAGACGGGAGGGAAGACGGGCATCCCCGTGGAAGGTCAGCCTGGACCCCGCCTCCGTCTCCCGCTCCAGCAGTCCTGAGCTGTAGGGCCTCATGGTGTGATCTTTTCAACCCAGGACTTTCCTGACACAGTCTCCTGGGCTTCTTTCCTTCATCTGAGGCACCAGGAACATGGAGAAATCAAGAGAACCAGTCTCTCCTGCCTTCTCTGCCTGTCCCGCAGTGGCCTGTGGGCACGCTGACGTTCATTTACATTCTTACTTTTTTTTAATTGAGATTCGCTGTTGGGAAATCTAGCTCGTGGCCATGAATGTCCCCATGTGTACAGGTCTAGTTTTCTATCACCTACTTTAAAATGATGAAGTTGAGAATTCCTGGGGAGAAAAGTAAACCAGTAACAGTTGACCTATTTGAGAAACACAGACCCTCCCAGCCTCTCTAACTGTCCTGCCAAGGCATTTCCCCTGAATTTCTCCAGCATCTGTCAAGGCACAGGCATTTACATGTATGACATTGACACTGGCTTCAAGTGAAGGAGCTGGAACCCTGGATTCCTAGGGATGGGACACTCAGAAACTGTGGCCTGGGGTTTGGAGACCTTCCTGTTTCACGCGGGAGGTTTCACACTTTCACGGTCCTGCAGATGCACCCTTTAGGCCTTGACGTTAGAACCAGGTCTGGGGAACTTGCCTGCCGCTCATCCACTATGGTGGGGCTCCCTGGAAGTGGCCCGCAAGTCCCTGGGAGTCCTGGCCCTGAAGGCAGAGCCTCTGCCCAAGGCCCACGAGGCCCGGGCTCCCGGCTGGCCTGGCGCCTCCCCCGGTGGGGTGCTGGGCCCCGCGTGCTCCGTGTCCCGCCCTGGGCGCTCCAGCCTGCAGCAGGACTGCTAGGGAAAGGCTGGCATTTAGGCGGGTGCTCTGGAGATGCAGAGGAGGCCCTTCCTTATTAGAAGACTCTCTCAGAAACTGCAGACAGGGAACACTGTTCTCTTTATCAGGGCAGCTGATAAAGTCACCTGCCACGGAGCAGAAACCAGTTTGCGTTTGACCTTACGTTGGTGAAGGCTTACAGTGCCACTGGGGTATTTTTGAACAGAAATGGAAGTGGATTCTAGATAGTATCTTGTGATAAATAGGAGAGCAGTGAGGCCCCTCCCCTGCTTAATCCAGGGGTCCCACCCCAAGGGGTGACAGAGACCGGCAGCTGGGGTCTGAGCTGGCACCTCTGCAGCCTGGCAGGCCGGCCGACCTCGGTGGGGCTGGGACGGGCCAGAGGGAGGATAGGTCGCACTCCAAGCCCCACCCCTCACCGCTGGAAGGTCCCTGGGGGAGGCAAAGCCAAAGGAGGTTAATACTGTTGATGCCTGGCCTCAATGTTTTTGGTTTCTCTGAAGTAACGGTGCTGTGATGAAATAGTGAAATGTTAAGATGCTAAATACCACTGGTGAGCGTGAGGTCAGGCTCACAGTAACTGCCTCTGCACCACAGACTGCAGCCACCAGTCCCCCTCCCCCCCGTGCCCTGCACACCTCCTGCCCAGCTCAGCCGGGAGCCCCCAGGGGGACAGGAGAGCCCTTGTCTGCACCGGGCAGGCAGGCTGGCTCACCACACAAGGGTCACGCTGACTGTGGGAGTAACTGTCCCCTCTCCTCTCTCTCTCTCTCTCCAGGAAGACTGTATCGCTAGATACAAGCTGCTGGTTGAACTGGTCCAAAAGAAAAACAAGCTAAAAGCTGAATCCTCTGGAAGATGATGTTTACCTTTATTTTCCAAAATGATTATTTTAAAAATCTTATGCAGAAATTTGCATTTTGTACCTCAGCATTTCTATGTCATGTGCCTTAGTAAAAAAAAATTAAATTTAAAATAAATGTTGTGCTACATTGTTTAAACAAATACTGTGTTAAAGGAGACAAAACATGTGGGTATTTTATGGGTTATTTTTCCCCTCATCATTGCAAAGTTTAATTTCCTGGGGAACAAACTGAACAGTGCTTTCTAGCAGTCAGGCAAATGTATGATTTCGAAGGAACATATGAGTGAACTATCGTGTAAGAATTAAGACTTAACTGTGTTTCTTTGACCAAAGAGCACATCACTTAATGAGTGTTTTGGTAGCAGGATGCCAGTGTGTGGGGAGAAAAAAACCAGCCTGGTATTGAGCTAGCTGGCTGGGAATAGTGTGGGGTTATCTTAATTGTATGTATGTGCATATGTTATGTGTATCTAGGAAAAAAAAATAAGCCTAAATGCACAAGGACGTAGGTAATAA